CCTTTTTCGGCCCGCTCTCGTAATGGTTAATTGCACTACATTAGTGCGTAATTTATAAGGAAGCGCGAGTGGCGTGCGAAAACTTTGGGCCCTACCCGCTCTCCTTTGGGATCCTGGGATCTGGGATATTTATGCTTTGGACGAAAACATTTGGCCTGGCAATAATGCCGAAAGTGCCAAGCAGAGACTCGTAAATAGCGACTCCCTCAAGTCCCAGTCTCAGCCTCAGCCTCAGCCTCCTGGCCGAGATAACCCCCATCACTGTGTCCAATTCAACCGCCCCATCCCAGATAAAGGCCGTTCGGCAAACCACCCCTCGTTCCCGATCCCCGCCTAATAGCAGACAAGGCCGCATTGGCCCCCGGGGACCACACAATTTCAATAAATATTTCACTGCATTAGCCAGCTCCGGAGGCCTTGGCCAAAGCCTCGCAGCGCGTTGCGCCAAATTGCTTTTTTGGTTTGGCAATAACGTGCATTAAATGTTTTGGCCATTATCATTTCTGGCCAACATCTCCATTAGCCAAGGCAAAACTGGAGCCAAGTCATATGGTGACTCAGTTTTGCACGGGGAATAATTTATAATTTTCCTAGATTTATAAGATATATTTAAAATATTTCAATTTGAATTTGCTTTGTTTATTAAAATAAAATACAAGTATGTAGATTTATTTTGTTTTAATTTCTCCCTAAATCATTGATACGTTTTCGTATGTTTATCTTTCAGAAATAATTGATAAAAGGTTTAAAATATAATATTAAAATTGCTCTTACTGAATAATAGTTCTCATTAACATCACCAACCATGGTCATTATTAATTATTATTCATTTTTTAAATGAAGTATCCATTAAAATGTTATAAGACTTGAAAATATGAACCTACGTCTTTTGATCCCACTTTTCCCCGATAACATAATTTTGATCCTTCGAAATGGAATCTCCAGTGCTATCGCCAGTAAGATAAGTAAGACCACATCACAAACAAACACATTCTTTCCATGTTACTATCAACCCACCAAAATCAGGTTCCTTTTCTTTGTTTCAAGTGGAGTTCGGTTAGGAAACCCTTTTAAGGCTTCTAGCGAAGCCAATCCGAAGGACAATGGTAAAGGGGCGATGACAACTGCAATTGTTGCACTCTTTGCTTGGCTTCCAAGTAAGACAACCGCAATGCGAATAGTTCCCTTTGGCCGACAAAGCAGCACCTTGATTGCTAACTAACACTGCCAACTGGGCTCAACCGAAGAGAGAAGCGAACTGAGGAAAGCTTTCTTTCATTTACTGGCAATAAATTTTCATTTTCTTGGTAAATCGTTCCGTTGTTGCTCCAGCTCTGGATGCTGCGGCAATTGCAGTTGCTCCTTTCTGACATTCTGGCGTCGATTGCCTCTGCCTGGCACATATGCCCGCATTTTTGCACCACAACAATTTGGTTGGCACAGCTCATTGTCTTCGAGCTCTATGGCAGAAAGTATACAGCAAGGGTTAGGTTGATAGCAACGAATGTCCTTGCATCAAAAGATTTATATAAATTGGATAAGTACAATATGCATATATACTAAGGTACACATATGTATGTTATGAACATAATAGTTGTCCAAGCAAAGTATTTTACTTGCTACTCATTAAAACAATCAGTTTCTTGTAGGAAATTTATGAAGGGTAGTACGCGAAAGGATCTTAGGATTCCGGTTATATTTAATACTATTTCCTTGACCACATCTGTGCCGAGCTTTAGTCATAGCTGCAGCAGCAATTGCAATTGCTCACAAGTTATCCCAAGTGGAAATGGCTCAGTTCGTTCCGCCGTTGTTGTTGGTGTCTGGGCTGGGAAATCGCAATAAAACAAAAGTGATTGTCAAGTGAATGCGCTTGTACTCCCACAACAGATACCCATATATAGTCCTGCGAACCCCTGCTCCTATGATGATATCCTTTTGGCCGCTATAAGCAATTCATCATGTGCGCTCTCCTGCGTAATTCGGAGTGATTAAAAATGTTATTCATATGCACTTGATTGATGGATGCGAGTGAATACAATCGTTCACTTTGCGACTGATTTGTGGTTGGAAATCCACCGAATTATTAATTGAAATGTGTTGATATTTTTCAGGTCCTACCCAGTGCCTACTCACGCTTATTTTTTTAAATGCTTAATAAACATAACTCCGTTTAGGTAATTCCTTCCGCCGCAAAGCCACACGCAACTTTCGGCCAAAAGTCGACTTGGCCAGCAGCACGCACACTCACTGCCATAAGGGCAGTTAATTAAGGGTGTGAACTGGTTGAGTTATGCGTGGACTCCTTGAAAACCCCCGCCATTTTTTCACTGACCTGTCAGGACCTCAACATAGAGGACGGCCAAATGGGCAGTAAATAATTCATTAGCGGCTTTTAACAATACATTTTTGTTGGCCAAACTAAATGACCTATCCGGTCAGTTCATCTGCAATGCACAGAAAGAAAATAATGGATTGATTTATTTTATTTATTACCACAAAAAGGAGTTGGGAAAATATATTTGTATTCACAAATACAGCTCCTTGAAACAAAGTTTATAATATTTTTAACTTTTTATCACTTCTAAGTATCCTTTCTGCGAAATATGGACTATCTTACTGTTAATGGAAATAAAAATTCTCTTTAATTTCTCTCAGTGTTCATAAGTCTCTGTTGTATTCTTTTAGTTGGGCACTTATTTTAATGAAGCGGCAGCTAATTAGCTGCAACGGCTGTGACCTTTGAACCGGTGGCTTCATTAGGCCAGGAATTCGTCGCTTTGTACTTTAACGCAGAGCCGCGATAAGAAATGTGGCTAAGAGATTGCCGCTGAACCACCTGCGCATTACAACAGACAAACAATGTGGCTCTGTGCTTTGGCACATTTCGCAGCGGCTGGCAAATTAAAATGCAATAACTCTTCATCAGGTAGGAAGGGGACCTTGCCTCACATGTGAGTTGGCCAAAAGGGGAAATGTGCTATAATTGAAAAATGTGGTAACAAGACGCTCGCTTCATCGCTCCACCACCGAGGGTCGCCGTGTCGGGCCTAATGAATGCCTCACTTTTTTCGTGTCCTACGCGGTTCGCCTGGTTTTTGCATAAACACGCGAGGAGTGTGTCGCCTTCGCGGCGAAGAGGGTGATAAATGCTCATCAGGCTTTAAGGCTGCGCTGGCAATTAACTTTTACAATGTTGTTGAAACGTAATCAAGTTGTCAGCGGCAAAAAGCCGCTGCCTTGCCTCGCAAATTATACTCCTAATTACGCAAAAGTTTTCTCAGCGCGGAAATTCCCTAGGCCACAAGCTGTCAGCAGACGGAAGACTTAGAAGACGGGGAAAAGCGGCTGGCTCTTGACTCTGGGTCGGGTGGAAATCCACTCTCATTGGCTAATCCTGGGGGATCCATTCGACTAATGCCCTGCCAGCGTTGCCCCCACCAAGAGCTCGCGATTCAAATGTCTCTCAGTTGTCATAACAAACTTGGGGACTTTCATCAGGACTTCTCTGAAGAGATACAGACGTGGGCGCAATAATATGTATGTATATGTTAGTAATATACAACAAAATATATATTTTTTAATGAAATTTGTAAATAAACAAAGGTATATTAAGCATAATAACAAAAAATTTAACATTAAATAGCAATATTTACAGTAAAGCACTAGAAATAAACCCATTATTTTGGTAAAAATAAGTTATAAAGGTTATAAAACTTTAAAAAAAATTAAGAGACTATATGAACTTATTTAAGAGATCTTGGAATGTCTTAATTCCAATTTGTTGTAATTGTTAAGGCTTAAAGATAATTCTAATACTTTCTTTCTACAAGTATTATTATTTCGATCACAATTGTTAATCTCTTTCACCCTGCCCCACTCTCGATTGTTTTCTTTTTTAACAAAGATGAAAAGCATTAGCTTTCCCCCAAAGTCTTGAGTTACAGTTGCGGGAATTGACAATAAGTGGCATAAATTTTAAAATTTTATTTTTATCGCATTGCGATTTTCTTTTCCTCTGGTCTCTGTGTGTTTGTGTGTGCGAGTGTGCGTTTTAAGTCACATTTAAGATACTTGGCTGGCATTATTGACTTTCGAGTTGATAAAGTGCCATAAATGTCACCCCATTAAAAGCGGGGAGCAGCCAAGGCAAGGTAAGTCAAAGGTAAAAATGCGCGGCCTCCCTGAGGGTTGCTGCTGGTTGTCCTGGCAAACACTCGTTTGGCTGAGAGGTGAGAGGGGTGGCGAGAGATAAATGCGGTTGCTTGCCAGGATAATGCGCCTCAACTCAATTGGGAATTTCGAAAGTAAAGTTGAATTTCATGTTCGGCTGCGGCAATTGTCACAGATGGTTTAATTGAAGTAATTACATATGAAATCCGTCAGGATTTGCCCCTCTCACAGGCTCTCCGTCCCTTTGGCCCCCGCTGCCTCTTATGACACTTTCCGTTTATTATTTTATTATATTATCATACACTTAGCAGCAGGAGAAGCATCATAATCATAATCCAGCCATTTGGGGTTTGGCGGAAAAGGGTTAATTGAGTTGTTGTTTGCCTTTTGTTTTATCTGCTTTTCCCGCCCTTCACGACTCTCCTCCTAATGAGCTAATGACAACTGCGTGTAATTATTTTCACCAACACCGAAAACCGGAAAGGTAAACACGTAGCATTTTTTGTGGCTTTTCGCCCAGATTCTATTTGGCTATATTTTATGAGCCTTTCCAGGGTTTTGAGAGCCTGTTAAACGGGTTGCCTCTGGGGTTGGGGTTTCCGACCTATTCCTGTGAATCATTTAAAAAGCTGCCCAGCTAAATATAGTTGAACAGAATTTTCCTACGAATTAAGCAAACATTTTAACAGCAATTACCTATTATTGGGCTTGTTTGCTCGCTCATCGATAAATTCATCTGAGCAAACAATGATGCTCCTCCCAGAGACCTATAAAAATGGAGCACAGCAGCCGAAACTCCAAGCAGTAGCTGTATTCCCACACTCTGACCCAAATCCTTGTAAAGATGTTCAGTCCGAAGTTCCTTCTCCTGGCAGCAGTCCTTGTGGGCGTGGCCCAGGCCACATTTATCATCCAGCCAGTGCCTAAAAAACCGGTGCAGCCATCTTCCAAATGCCAAATCTACTGGCGGGAACTTAGCTGGGCTCTCGAGGATTGTGTCTGTCGATGCTTTCAGAACGAGTGTCTTATGACAGAGAGGAGCGCTGAACGGGAGAAGGCTGGCCAGACTCGTAAGATTCCGATCAGTGATATTTCCCCAAATATCCTTTAAAATTCAATTACTCTTTCAGCTCTTGTTCCCGTTTCTGAGAAGGTCTGCAAGAAGTTCAATCGGAAGAAGTGCCTCCTTGGATGGCCTGTGATCGCCTACTTCCCGATTCCCTCTCCATGCGGCTGCAATGGCAAACCAGGAAGCCTTGAGACCAAGAAGTTTAAGAGTTTGTGCCTACTGAACAAATACTCAGTGGAGTGTTCGAAACGTAAGGAAAATTAGTAAATACTATAAAGAATATATAAACCAATTATTAAACTTATCTTACAGCCTACATCAGCGTGACGAAGTGCTAAGATCTACCCATAAAATCTACTGGAACCCTTGGAAACTCGATCGGAATTTGTTATTGTTAAATTGTTGAATAATAATAAATATGAACACTGCAAATGAATCTTTATATTTACAAAGGGTGTATCAATAATGCCTAAAACGTTACCTTTAATTTTATTAAATATATTTATTATACTTAACTTTTAATAGCCTGTTTTAAGGGGAATGCACCTGAAAATAAGCTTTTGATATTCGGTCAGTCAAGGTTAGGTAAATAAGCAAACATATATTCGCGTGCACCCTAAAGCGCACGTTCTGCAAACATTTTGTTTTATTAATATATGGTTTTCTTTCCGATACACAAAGTCAACAAAGCTAAAACAGCGCAGTGTAATTTATATAAAAAGCCCATTTTGTGGCTTTTATGGAACAGTTACAATCTTAACCACTTGAAGTCTCCGTCTTCGTTATTTTGATAAAACATGATAAACTTTAAATTGCTAATTTTGGTGTTGTGTGTTGCAAGAACTTCCTATGCCTGTAATTTAGAAAGCAATCCTGAACCAGTACCAGAAATTGAGGTACCCGAAGTTGAATATGCTAAGGTGCCTGAAGATGAAGTGGAACCTGAAGTTGTAGACAATAATGTGCCTGAAGGGGGAGAAAACCAGAAGAGGAACCTATAGTGACCGTAATCAAAATCAAACCAGAACCCGTAGAAGAATGCAATCTATTTTATAGAAACTATCAATGGGCCCTCGTGGATTGTGTCTGCTGCCCATTCCAAAACGAATGTCTCATGAAGAAAGATAACGACAATCGAGTAAAGGATGGTAAAAGCCGTAAGTCAAAATCAAGCTTAATTTTTAATCGAATAATTCAATAAGTTAATTAACCAGCCCTTGTACCCGTCACCGAGGAGCTCTGCAAGAGCTTTATTCCCAAAAGTGTTCTAAGAAATCCCCGTAATAGCTCAATTTCCCATACCTGCTCCTTGCGGCTGCAATCGAAAGCCAGGATCTATTGTCACCCAAAGGTTTAACAGTCTGTGTCACCTGCTTAAATTCTCAGCGAAAAATAGGAAACGTAAGAAAAAGATTCAAGTTAGATTCTTAAGCTATACTGATTTGATTTCTGTATTTACAGCATTCTTAAGTTACTCGTACGTCAAACCCAGAAAAATGAAGAGAGGACGTCCTTAAATTTGATATTCTCATATTTTTATTAATCATTTTATTGAGGAAATGGTTATTTGTTTAAAACTTGTTATAATATGTTTGAATAAACGAAAAAATGTTTAAAAAAAATATTATATTGCCAAATTTAGATTATTCTTAAGGGCATTTAGCAGGTTCTTACAATACATTTTAAAATGTCTTTTACCTTGCACTTACATTTAAATATAACCCCAAAAGGTATTCATAAGCAAAATATTTACTTATTTAATTATTCAGTAATAAAAATAACCCATAACAGCAAAAATCAACTGCTCAAATAAAACTTTACTCTCATGATTACATATAAAAAGCCCTTTATCATAGCAAAACCCAACAGAATCCATTGAAATCCAGTGGTTCGCGTTCCACAACAAAATATGTTCCACATCAAAGTTTTCATCCTGGTGGCCATCGCCATATGCCTGGTCCAGAGTTGTTCCGTCGAGGAACCGGAGCAGGTCAAGAGTGGGTGCAGCAAGTCCGAGTGTTCCGCCTGTGGCAAACCAGAGGGATCCTGTGACTGCGTCAAGAACTGCGGTTGTGGCGGACGTCCTCGCCGTTCGCGGTGCTCCTGTGGCGGTTGCTCCAAGAACTAATCCAATATTGTAAGCTACAGTTTGCTATGGTTTACCCAATACTTATTTTTCCATATTTCAACCCAGGACGGAAAGCTGATGCCTCCAAGGATTCATTGTTTTTTAGACTGTTTACTGTTTACTTTTCCCTTTCATTAAAGTGTTGCTGTTACTTCTCGTCAAACTTTCATCTTTTCTCGCACTTTGTGCGCTCAATTGTGAAGGGAGCGCTACAATGAGCAGACAATCATTTTCATTGCATTGATCACTTTTTTATTCATATCCGTTCACTCGTTGGCAAAGTAATGTCTTTGTTCTTTCCGCCATGCTTTCTTGATTTCCCCAGTTCCAGGTCCGCAAAGCGAAACAAAAGAAAAAGTAATCATATCCGGAGCCCCAGTCCTTCCCCCCCACTTAGGTAGGGTGATATATGTATACCCTTGCGCTTCTTTTCTACGCGAATTGCTTTTCCGTCCTCTTTGCCGAGTCTCCTGGTATTCCATTTTATTTCCCGGGTTTTGGATTTTCTGAAGAGTATGAACGCAGATAGCTGGAGGTCAGGGCTGGAGCCCACCTGGACGACGCAGGAGATGGCCGCCTAATAGCCCTAAAAGCCTTATCGAGTCATTTAGTATGAAAACAAGCAATTAAAATGATGAATATGCAATAAACGTGGATTGTGTATGCAAACACACTCGCACACAACCACTGCCTCCCAGAAATAAAGGACAATTCCTTGCGCCGCATACATTTTATATGCTAATGAGCGGCCCACAAAAACGAAACTCGAAATTTTTTTTTGGGGAATTAAAATAAAAGGGAAAAGGCAAAAGGCGAACGAACATACATTTGCCTAATGAAAATAGCACCATTAAAATGGGAAAAACAACTTTAGATACCGAAATTCGAAACACGGCGGGTTTTGGCAATTAAAAGGATACGAATGGAACAAGCTCCTATCAACTCCCCGCTGACTCTGACGAGGACTACGCATGGGCCATATACTCTCCGTGATCGTCTAGCAAATTAGAGATTAGCACGCATGTGTCGTCCTTTTCGAGTCCTGGAACTCCTGGTTCATTGACCGCCGATGCGGAGGCAATAAAAGTAAACGACTTTGAAAAACTTGGCGGCCAGTTTTATAACTTAACGAATTAGAGCAATTTGGGCAGACGACTATAAAAACGTCCGGAAAACCGCAGAGAGGTATGTTGAAAATATTTTCCAAAAACATTTTCAACAGCGCGTGCCAACTCAGGTAAAAACTCTGGCTAAAGCCAGGGGTGTGTTTAATAAGCCACGACGAGGTTGGATAATAGAAGACGGGGAGGATCCATATCAGTGGAAAATTAAATGCATTTCGAGGACTGAACAATCAAGAGGGAATTGGGAATAGCTGGGACGAGAGATGGAAATGTAGCAGACACACCCATGCACTACAAAAAAATATAACATATAGTCAAGACAGTTTATATATAAAAATTTATATTAATCCCCCTCAATTTACCAGGATGGCTTAATGCTCCGACAATCTTCAAGTCTCTTTGAATAAATAAACTTTTATGCAAAATAAAATTAATATGTGAACATTTTTCTCCGTGAACCTGACCACAACTCAGTTGCATCTTGCATCACAAAACATATTAATTAATACGAGGCCTATGCGCCTGTCAGTTGTCAGTTCATCAGATGCGACTCGGGTCAACTCGGGTCGGGTCAACAACTTAATTATATTGCGCCACTCGAGCCGGGATAATTATGCATGTGTTTTGCATTTGCAACTCGAATTTATTATTTGTTTCTCGAATTGTTTGACCACCCCGCCCCCGGCCACGCCCCACTTTAATTTGATAATTGCGATTGCGTGTGCATGTGTATATATGTATATACTTTTGGGGGAAATGGGAGAATGTCCGGCTCGTTAGTCCGTCTGATGGGTTAATTGGCCTCTAATTTGTTGCAAATTTGCTGCGGGGCTAATATAGTGTCGACAGTGTGTTCAAATTACAATTACATCGGTGACCGCGGCATAATGCATTAATGCATTTAACCGCAATTTAAATTCGATTTGCATTTCTAAAGGGAAAGAGTCTGAGCCGAAAAACTTGGCTAAAGCCATAGAAAAGTGGCTGATTGACAATTGGCCAAATGAAATTGATTGATGAGACATCGCAAATGTAGCTAAAACTTTGACAGATTGCTCCCAGCCAGGATACACAAAAATAGCAGGACCCAGATCCTTATCGGGTGGCACGAGTTGAGCACAAATATTGTGACAGAAAAGGGGTCGTCCTGTCGCCCCGAAATGTAAATGCTCGAAATTGCTGTGCGTGCAGCTTATTGACATTAATGTAACAATTGTCAAAGGATTTATTAGCAGCCCGAGGGGATGGGATAGCACCGGGGTGCGGCAATTCGGGGCGACTCTAAGTGCTATCAATCATTTGATTGATATTAATGAGCTCGAATTTGCATTATTCCAATGAGGATCACATGTTTTAGTTGTTCAAGATTTGACATTTGCCAAATGTTTGCATAAATTTCAGCCATAATTAAGTTTGCAGAGCACGGATTTCCATTATCATTTCCATGCCCCTACAATCGCAAATTCAATTCAGAACGACGACGACGACTGGCAAGGAAATAAATTATACCACAGAAATCCTTAGAACCGAAACAGAACGAACAGAAAAGAAAAACTCAAACTCAAATGTAACAAGAAGATCAACAATAAAGCCACAAGAATACAAATTACCAGGCCACAAAATGCCAGAAATAAATAAACAAATATGGCTATATATACACTCACTGTATGTATATGTACAGTGTACACTCCCTCACTTACTTACCCAGCCATATAAATGCACAGTTTGTGATGCATATAAAAAGCGGAAAGCAAATTTGAATTTTTAAATTAGTTTTGTTAACTTTGCCCGTTGTTGTGGCGCTCTGGCAGAGAGCCTGGAAATGTTTAACGACTCGTAAGGAAATTGCAAAGTAAAATGTCTTCAGGAATTCCACATTTTCCGTATACGTAATAAAAAGCCAAAGGAAAACGGCAACAAACACGGCAAAGAAAAACCACAAGATGGCGTTGAGTGGGCGTCTTGGGTGGTGGTGGTGTTTTTTTTTGGGTTGGGGATGCCAGCTTTTGGGGGTGGTTCCTTGGCAGCCTGCTGAAAATGGCGAATTAAATTTGAAATTGCGGTCGGTTGTTAGAGGAAAGAGAGAGCACCACAAGTCAGAAAGAGAGAGAGAGAGAGAGCGAAGAAAAAGGAAAATGTCACAGCAAGTTGAGGTAAAAGTTGCGTCTGGCATTGCTTTTGTTGTGTAAAATATGGAAAAATGTCTCCTTGCCGGATAATGTGCGCTCAAGGTATGCGACTGCTGCTTATGCATACCAAATGTGTGTGACGACCCCAGGTGTACCCATCCCCTCCTCATCCCCTAAGCACCCTTAGTCCCTCACCTCAGTGCCATATGAAGCGGCAGCAAGTTTATTTGTTTTGTCAGTCGGTGCACGCAGCTCGGAGACCAGTTGATGGCTCGGAAAATAAGCTCAGGGCCCTTCTTCTGCTGGGATAAGGATGCCCACTGTTGCCTCTTCTCATTTGAAATGCAAAGCAGCACTTTGGAAAAAGAAAAACAAATTAAAATCATATTATATGCACCTAATACTACAGTAATATCAAATTATCATTCACAGCTTTATGCCAAACAAATTCTGTATATGCAAAAACATTTCCTATCATGGGATATTTACATAATTACGTAAAAATATATAATTTAGTTTTTGAAAGCAGCATAGTGATTTGTTTATAAAATCATAAATAATAAGTTGAATCAATTCAAAGTGATAAGGGAAGATTGTGAGTATTTTTTAGTTAGTGTTTATACGCAACAATTATTCAAACACTAAATACTCAACTCTTGATATTATTACATTTGATTTAATTTGACTTACAAATCCTTTTGGGAAACCGTTTGTATTATATTTATATATAAAATATTAACTTAGACCTAAGAAGTTATTTCTATTAACAATTTTATTGCTTTTATCCAATTATCCATCTCTATTCAACTAATTTCTAATACCAAATACTTGTGATAAATGTAAAGAAATAAAAATTAAATGATGGCCAATCAGTACAAATAGAAGAGCCCCCAAGAATACACCCACTTGGACACACACACATGGCTACCACATAGTCAGAGCAGACAGCAAAAAGATAACACAACAAATCGCAAAGAAAAAAAAGGAAGAATAGAAGGACTTTGTGCAATTTATTTTGCCAAGTAAAATTACTTGTCGCCTGGAGGGACGAAACTGACACATGGGCGGAGATCCCGTGGACTTTCAGGGGAAAAGGACACACTGCTCTATATGTTGAGGGGTAAGGATGGGTGTTC